CAAACAAATTACAAAGTTCAACCTACTGCTGAACCTGTTTTAAGCAGTTTTTTTGTTTGTCCTCTATCTGACACAAGACACCAAAAAATTGCAAACACTGCAATCAACAATCCATAATATAATTGGTGCATGTCAACTAGTTATAAAACCAATTCTTTTCTTAGAGGAAATTGTATGCAAACATTTATTATCTACTGATCAACGCATCAATAATAAATTACATCATATGCGACAAATATGCTTGTGAATGATTTTACTGACAACCTAGCTGTATGATTTGTTTTATTTTATTTTTTCTTTTCAGAACATCAAGCTGTTACAAATGATATATATTTTATAGATAGTGATCAGAGCAGTGCAACAGCTTATCACATTGCTCGTAAGTACATATATACATCCCAAACAAATTACAAAGTTTAACCTACTACTGAAACTGTTTTAAGCAGCCTTTTTTAATGTCCTCTATCTGACACAAGACACCAAAAAATTCCAAACACTGCAATCAACAATGCATAATATAATTGGTGCATGTCAACTACTTACAAAACCAATTTTTTCTTAGAGTAAATTGTATGTAAACATTTATTGTCTACTGATCAACGCATTAATAATAAATTACATGATATGCGACAAATATGCTTGCTAATGATTTCACTGACAACCTAGCTGTATGTTTTGTTTTATTTAATTTTTTTCTTTTTAGAACATCAAGCTGTTACAAATGATATATATCTAACAAATAGTCATCAGAGCAGCCCAAGAGCCAATCACATTGCTCGTAAGTACATATATACATCACAAACAGATTACAAAGTTTAACCTACTACTAAAACTGTTTTAAGCAGTCTTTCTGTTTGTCCTCTATCTGACGCAAGACATTAAAAATCTTGGTTGGTTGGTTGGTTGGAGAATTTTGAGTTGTAAATTTTCACAAAACTTTGCCACCAGGAACAAACTAATGTTCAAAACTTCAAAATGCCTGAAAGGGGTGCTGTCATAGCAGGATGTTGAAGCTCCAAATTGACTGATACATATTTATATACCATACCCAGCCTATGAAATGCAATCACATGTTATCGATCCTAGCAATAGCATACATTTTAATTTATAGTTCCTAACTTGCACATAATGTAAAACATCTATTCAGTCATAAGTGACACCATGAATATCCTGAAACAATCCTTCCCACAACAGATACACATAAAAAGGATCAAACTTATAACAAACTGTATTTCTTCAACTCAATCAGAGCAAACCAATCATCTACAAAAATCTGCAAATTAAGTCTTTGTTGAAACTTGTGTTGAAAAGAAACTTGAGTTTGAGTACCAGACTTGAATGCAAATGTATTTTTTTTCTTTTGGCAGAACATGTTTCACAACCAATCAGGACAAGAAATGCACAATTACGACGTAAGAATAGTTATAAAATACTTTTAAATGACTGCTATGTCATCTTTACAGTACCTAAATAATACTGTTACAAGACAGTTCAGTTCCTTTGAGAGTATGATTTATGTTCCTAATAGTCACTATTTTACTTGTTTGTGAAAATATTTCTGTCCAAACATTTTAGATGCCATACGCCATAGGCGCTACAGAATGTTACAACAAGGTAAGTGAATTCTTACTTAAACATTTGTTCTACATAAAATAAGACTAACTGCATCAAAATAACAACAAAAATGTTACATCTCACCAATGTTAACTTATTAGCCATTATACTATCACTGACTAAGCAATTCAATTAAAAAGTACCTTGTTAAAAAACCATGCACATTTCAATATTTTCAAAAAAAATTTCTCTTCAAAGAATTCAAAATATACAATTTTTTTGTTTGATGTGAAAAACATATATATATATATTAGATGAATACATCTCTTTGAGGTCCCTTTAGTCATGTGACTGAAAATTTTTATAAAAATAGCTTGTTCATAGATTACCCTATACTTTTTAATGCTTCCTTCAACTTTTAGCACAACTATGTTGTACTTGTCTATTAATAATCAACTAACAAAATACATATAACTTATCAAATTCTTTCAATTCATTGCTAGATCATTTTGAGAAAATGAAAAAGTCACTTATCACCATGGTTAAGAATTTATGCACCATTGATAACCAGCTGAAAAAAATTCAAAACCAGTTAGAAAGGTCACCAGCCACAGTAAGTGAAATTTTTTAAAATTCATTCCTTGAATTGAACATTACCAATAAATATAAATAATGGTAACACTTTCAAACATTTCAAATAGAAAATACAATGAATATTTGTCCTTTATTATTACTATTAATAGTTTTTATCTAAACCTTAGAACTTCACCATGCTTGTGGCATTATATTTGTAATGATAGTCAATCAAATACATCAAATCAAAATGTTCCAATCTATGACATTAATGCCTAACTCATTTCACAACCTGTGGTACACTGATCTTAACAAAATTCCTTAGAAACGTTAAGTCAACTTTTGGTACACTGAAAACCTAATTCAGGGCAGT